TTAGTCACTGATTGTTGTTTTTCCAACAGAACATAGTAAAGAAACTGTAGAAGCAGAGAGAATTTTAGAGAAGGAATTGTAGGTTTATGTATTTCGTTAAGCTCTAACTGAGCACATTACAATCTTTATATCAGCCTAACTACAGTCTTAGCTGGCTACTCAATTTGCTAACAACTCTAACCACATTCTAACAGCTTACTCATTGATCTGTTGACACTTGGCAATATCATCATCATTGATACTCTTACATCCCCCTCAATCTCATGCTTGGAGGAGCCAAGCATAAGATTGGAACAGTGATGTGGAAAAAGAGAGGCAGTGAGGACGTTTGTAAGAATATCTTCAAACTATTTGGCAAACAAAACATGCCGCAGAAGCAAGCATGGCGGAGTAACAAACTGCATGAGCACAAGGATTTGGAACAGTGAAGAACTATGGTAAAGAAACAATAGGAGCAAGCAATATCCGAAATGCGGAAAACCAAAGTGTACAAACAAGATATAGAGTTTCTGTAAAACCAGGAGGTTGAGCTATGTGTTTGAGTTTCCACTGAAAACCACCAGCCAATGCCAAAATGAAACTAACAATGGTTGAAGGAACTACTAGCAGGATCGTGGCATTGTAATCAATATCACTGGCTAGCACACAGTTTTGTATATCTGGAACTACGTTGAGATCAAAATGCGAAATGCAATCAAAGTGCAATTTTGGCGTCACCAAAGGAATGTCCAGAGCAAACTTTTCATTTCCAGAGATAACAGTCTTGCCAGTTTCACCTTCATCATGAGAACCAGAGGCCTTGTCTTCATGTAAGGTCGTTGCCTGAAATAGTGTAATGGAATCAGCACCATATGTATGGCCCACAAAAGGGCTTACTATAGAGCGTGTGGCTATCTGAGGCAGCACAACATCTGCAGGAGCAATTATTTCATCCCGACTGATTGATTACCCCTTCCACTTATCCAGAGAGAGTATAGAAACCACAGACAACTCAAATACACCCCATCAAACTTCGGCAACTGATTAACAAGTAATATCAGAGGCATAATACATGCTCCATCAACTCTTCCAGTCAACGAATTTCGCAACTTTATTGACCACAAATTATTAACTGTTTGCCCAAGAGATATACCAACTGATTCATTGTATGAACCATCAAGTATCCCAAATTTGCCAAATAATTGCATCCTCAATAAGCAAGTCAAATCAATTATGTAGTTTGACCCCCACATCTAGAAAGAGATAGAATAAGAGAAGAGGGAAATTCTTTGTTCCCTGGGAATTTAAAGAAATTAAAGAAAGGAGATAGAAAGAAAGAAGAATTGGGAAATTCTTTTGTTCCTTGATCAAAGAGATTGTAGAAAGGAGGTAGAAAAGAGGAAGAGTTGGGAAATTCTTTCCCTTAGAGATTGGAGAAAGGAGATAGGAAAGAGGAAGAACTGAGAAATTCTTTTGTTGCCCTAGAGATTGGAGAAAAGAGATAGAAGAGAATGAGAAATGGGAAATTCTTTGTCCCATGAGATAAGAAGATTGAGAAGAGAATTGTGACATAACCATGTAAGTATTGATTGATTGAAGATTTTCTTGTTCTCCAAAGAAGTGGGATTTAAGAATCAAGAAAAGGGGTACTAAGATTTTGGATGCACTAGAAAATTTGACACAGCAAATACCAAATGAACCAACATAGTTGAGGAAATAGAACCTCCGTAGGAAGACATGGAATTGAAGTCAGCGAGTCGAATCAATCGCAAATCAATGGAGAATTACGCAAAGCAAATATGAATTTGTAAATCCCGAATTTGAAGGCTTGAAATCAACAGTCTTATATAAAAGCCCCAAAATTGACTAGCAATCGATCAAGAAGCAGATATTGACGTTGATTTCCATGGAGGTCCAGAAAAGAATGTCAAGGCAGAGAAAACGGAAGCAGAAGAACTCAGGATCGATCCATGGGAAATAAGAAATTCTTTTGTACCTTAGAGATTGTAGAAGATAGGAAAGAGGAAGAATTGAGAAATTCTTTCGTTGCTTTAGATATTGGAGAAAAGAGATAGAAGAGAATGAGAAATGAGAAATTCTTTGTCCCCTGAGATAAGAAGAGTGAGAATAGAATTGTGACAAAACCATATAAGTATTGATTGATTGAAAATTTTCTTGTTCTCCAAAGAAGTGGGATTTAAGAGTCAAGAATAGGGGTATATTGAGATTTTGGATGCACTAGAAAATTGACAAATCAAATAACAAATGAACCATCAATATTTGATCCATGGTGATGTATTTAAGAACGGGAATGTGATTTTATAGTAAGGAATTTAATATTTGATTTGGAGGCGGCTACAATAACTATCGAAGGTGGATAGAAAGCTTGAATTGTTGGAACATAGTATTTATCTAATTATTGAAATCAGAGAGATAGAGGATGAACAGCAGACATACCAAAAGAACATCAATACGATCCAAATAGCAAGAATGCAACTAACAATTTGAAATCCATCACATATCATAGTTAAGGAAATAGAACCTCTATAGGCAGACATGGAATTGAAGTCAGGGAATCAAATCAATCTGAGAAGCTACAATTTGAGTAGTAATCTTACAGAAAACAAAAACAAATCCCATTCGAAAAGCCCTAATTTGGAAAAGCCCTAATGTGAGCAACAATCCACTAAGAACATTGAATGCCACTAGAACAACAACAAATCCCAGTTGATGGGTCTGTGAATTCGCAAATCAATGGAGAATTACATGAAGCATATATGAATTTGTAAATCCCCAATTTGAAGGCTTGAAATCAACAATCTTATATAAAAGCCCCAAAAATTGACTAGCAATTGATCAAGAACACTAGAAATTCCCAAAACAGAGACAAAACCCTATTGAGACGTACTCAAATCAAATATGAGACTGAAAATCCCCAATAGCAAGCTGAATAGAAACTCAAACCTTGATTTAGTTTGACAAAATTGAGAATCCAATAATGACATGGAAGAAGCAGATATTGACGTTGATTTCCATGGAGGTCCAGAAAAGAATGTCAAGGCAGAGAAAACGGAAGCAGAAGAACTCAGGATCGATCCATGGCTTTGATACCATGAAGGAAGTTGAGATTCCACCCCAAAACCAATTGGCAATTGGGGGGGGGAGGGGAGTAGCCCAACTCCTTATAAGCCCTTGCTATGTTTCTCAACTTTCCAATGTGGAACTCTTTACCTTCACATTCTCACACTATTGTATGTTTGTATTCTCTCTTTCCATGTATAATTTCGTTCCTTCTTTTAAACTACGTTCAGATTCAAGTTTCTAGAATAGATGCTTGAACTTTGCACTTTGAACACATGAAACTTTTTTCCTGAAAATGACATATCACTTTCATGGAAACTAGCCGAAAGCTCACATGAATCGGCTGACAATCCAAAATGAGCGAAACCCATTTCTAGAAAACACTTATAAAACCTCAAAAGATCATTGAAATTTGCAACCACCTCTAAATCCAAAGTAAAGATAATAACAGTAAGCAGTGCAACCACCTCTAAATCCCTCTACGTATAAAATACTATTATATTATATTATATTTAAAGCGTATAGCCGCACGGTTATAGTATTTATTAAAAAAAAAATTCAGTATAGCCGCTAATTATAATAGTATTTTATACGTTGAGGGATGCATTCATCTATTAAAGACATGTAGAGAAGCATTTTGAATTTGATACGGCACACAGGATTTTAGGACATGGCATGCTTTTGCATATGCTTCACTTTTCAAACAACACTTTACATAAAGAATACTACCTTATCTCTTAATACTATACCCATAAATCTTTGTTTGAAATTGAAACTTTTGTGAAGAAAAAAAAATGTGTATTGGACATGAAACATACGTACGTACATGTATAATGTATTGTACATTTGCTTTTTTTAAAACATGAATTTTCTAAACTACTCTTATCGATAAACGAAATTCAAGGAAAAGTTTTTTTTTTTCAAACCCAGTATAGCCTAACGGCTATACTATTTATTAAAAAAAGTTTAAAAATAATCAGTATAGCCGGGCGGCTATACTATTTAATTATAATAGTATTTTATACATAGAGACATTCATCTCTTAAAGACATGTAGAGAAGCATTTTTTGTTTGATACAGCACATAAGATTTTAGGATATGACATGTTTTTGCTTATGCTTCACTTTTCAAACAACACTTTAATTACATGAAGAATACTACATTCTTTCTTACTACTATACCCATAAATCTTTGTTTGAAACTGAAAATTCTGTATAAAAAAAACACATGTATTAGACATGTGACAGACCTATGTACATGTATTGTACGTTTGCTTTTTAAAAAACATGTATTTTCTAAACTACTCTTATCGATAAATGAAATTCAAGGAAATTTAAAAAAAATTAAAACTAAAAAACCCAGTGTAGCTGCACGCCTATACAATTTATTAAGAAAAGTTATATATAAAAAAAAAAAAAGACCCAAGTATAACTATTTATTTTAAAAAAAACTGAAGTATAGCCTCGCAGCGATACTGTGTAATTATATTATATTTAAAGCGTATAGCCGCTCGGCTATACTATTTATTTTTAAAAACACTGAAGTACTGCCGCTTTGTCTGATTTTCAGGGTTGTCTCGTAAGGTTGCTCACAAAATAATTCCTCCTTTTCCAGCCCTTTTCAAGCAACCAAAATAAATGAATAAATAAATGGGGCAGTTTGGGAATGATTTATTATTATTATTGCAAAGACTAACCAAAAACGACCAGATTGTGAAAAGATAAAATTCTGAACTGTTACTAAACAAGTCATAGCACAAGATTGGAGATTATTGCTGGTGCATACATCTTTGATATACGCAAGGCTTCAAACTTTGACCAATTGCAAAAACAACATTATACCATGAAAGCAGAGCGGAAATTAACCAATAAGTAAATCAGCTGCGACATTGGGAAAAGAAGAAAAGAAAAAGAAAAGAAAAAAGAAGATGATCATCTCATCAGTTCATTTAACTAGTCTTGTGGAACCAATGATACAATACAACAAACCCACTTCTGTAAGCCATCTGTGATCAATAACTAATTCACCTAGAACAAAATTCAAATGATTCCTACAAATAAGATAATCCAACAACTTCACCTCCTGATTTTGGAGTAGCCTCAACCACTCCATGTGCCCATTTCCTCTATATTAAGAGCAATACCTGTTACTCATCAGAGTACTTCAGCAAGAAATCTTCAGCATTCAATTCTACATCTTTAGATACCGAATTTCAGGATGTTCAAGCATACATTTTCGTCCGTTTTCATCATAATGCTGATTGCAAATATGCACAATGCAATTGTACTTGTGTCTGCAGTTGATCCTGCACCAGTCAGCAGTGAACCGGTTCTTGAAATATACATGCATGACATTCTTGGAGGCAGTAGCCCTACAGCTAGGCCAATCACTGGCTTGCTAGGCAACATCTACAGCAGCCAAGTGCCCTTTGCAAAGCCGATAGGGTTCCTTCCTCCAAATGGTGCGGTGGCTATCCCTAATGCCAATGGTGCCATTCCAACTGTAAATGGTGCCAATGGTCTCCCACTAGGAACCGGCTTATCTGGTACAGCTTTTGCAGGAAATCCTAATGCTCAACAGAATGGCAATCCTGCTACCCAACTAGCACCGGATGGGTTGGGACTAGGCTTTGGGACAATCACTGTCATTGATGACATACTGACCTCTAGTCCTGACTTGGGGTCACAAACGATTGGAAAAGCTCAAGGAGTTTATGTGGCAAGCTCTGCAGATGGAACAACACAGCTGATGGCATTTACGGCTATGATGGAAGGAGGGGAGTATAATGACAACCTCAACTTCTACGGAGTGTACAAGATTGGGAGTACCAAGTCACAGTTGTCAGTGACTGGCGGGACGGGCAAGTTTAAGAATGCCAATGGGATTGCAAAGCTGCAACCACTGATCCCTCCAGGTCAACATGCAACAGATGGTGCAGAAACATTGCTGAGGATTACTGTCCACTTAAAGTACTGAGACAAAGTGGTCTGTTTGTGTCAATGTCGATGTCAATGTGAGTGTCTGTGATTGTATTAGCTACATGTGTGGAGTATCTTTCAATTGTAACTGTTCTGCTTAAGTATGGTAATGCCTAATGAAGAATATCTTGTCAACTGATCTTCTCACCACTAAAAGGGTAAGGAACAAGATCAAACAAAAACTCCAAATCACCATCATACTAAATGTCATAGTACACCATTACCATATCATGCAAGATGCATTACTGCAGATCACAGCCACCAAATAAGTAAAAATTGCATGAGAACATCACATATCAAACCAAACCTTATTGTCCTCATGGATGGATGACCAGTAACTTACTATCCAATAACGAAAACTATGGCAATGTAATCTTTGGACTAAAATTTTCTCTCTAAAGCAAGAGACTCATAAGAGTATTCAATGTAAGGCAACACAAGGTGGGTGCTGCCTATTATTGTAGACTGTAGATGTCAAAACTTTAGTAATTTTAAAGAACATTAGGGGAAATAAATAAATATATATATTTATAAAAAAAAAAAAATTAAAAAAAAAAAAAAAAAAAAAGGGAAGAATGATTAGGGTAGTTGCAGAGAAAAATGATGTGGAAAAGAGAGATGAAAAGTATATGAAATATCAAGGCAGCAAGATTTCAACAAAAATTCCCTTCATTGAAACTGATTTGTATTCATCGAGCTTCCAACAGAACCCCAAAGAGTCATTATATAGTAGAAGACTCTTATATACTTGAAAATTACACCGTTCTAAGACCTCGAACCATTGACTCAGAGACATCAACTCTTAAGTTGACTCTCTGATTTTCTTAGTTCTTTTTTAACTGATTGTAGAAAACTGTGAGCATTTCCTTTGAACCAAAATGGCCTCATAAACACCAACTTAGTCTTGGCCTTTCAAAGAGAATACCTCATCTACAACCAAATTGTTGCTACCCTATGTAACCCATATAATTAATGTTGGAACAGGCACAGCAGCTTACAACTGGAATGAATTACCAAATTTTTGCCTTTAAACTATCTTTGTATATTTGGACACTGTTTCTTTATATTACAAAGGAAAAGTTTAAAATACAGGAGGAAAAAATCATAAGTGAAACAAAGTTCAGTTTACAAGGGAATGCTTCCAATTATTATTGTACTTGCCCATAAATGACTCAGGAACTCTACTTCCAAGAACAAAGTATATGTTATTCATCATTCATGTAATTGCTCAACATATGGCAAATCTATAAAAAAGAAACACAACAAAACAGGTCTAATGGTAACATACCACGCATACAGCTCCTCGTTGTTCACGACAAGCTGGTGATTTTAGCATGAGAAAGCACACACACTTCATCAATCCCGTAGAGTGAATCTATCAAATGCATCCGCAATGACGCTGGACCATTTGCCATTTTCATTCCCATCTCACCAGCAATCCCAAATACCGATAACGCCGAAGCTGTAGCTTCCAATACATGTGATTGATCAACCGAAACAAAGGCAGCAATGAGGGCAGTGACTGAACACCCTGTTGCTGTTATCTTTGTCATCATGGCAACCCCATTGTGAGCACCAACAACTCTCTTCCCATCTGTAACAATATCAACAGCCCCCGAAACTGCCACTATGGCACCACTGGCTTGAGCCAGTGACTTTGCTGACTCTACTGCATCTGTTGACTCATGGGAACTGTCTACACCCTAAAAACAACAAAATTCAATTAAAATTGATTTATAACAACTTTAGTATGCACAAAAACAAAAAACAAAAAATTTATCTTTGATATTCAATGAACTGAATCATCATCCATAATAATAACATGAAGCCAAAAACTTTGACTCAACAATTTAAACACCTAATTTCCCCAAATATAAAAAAATTTCAACTTAACAAATTTCAACGGAGTTTTTTTGGTATCAGAAATCCGATTCAAAGCACAGGATAACTTGTTCTTCATAACACCTCATGAGAAAATTGATCAGACTATTTTTGTGATAAAGCAAGAAAATTTACCTTGGTGGGTTCCACAGAAGCCTTGGCGAGGGAGATAATCTCGGACCCATTTCCCCTGATAACAGTAGGCTTAAGCTCCACAAGCTCCAAGCAAGCCTTTAACCGGAAACTGGAGGCACCGGCGGCAACTGGGTCGAGAACCCAAGGCTTACCGGACTTATGTGCCAGTTCAGCGGCCAGCTTCATGGCCGGTAGCCAGCCGGCGGAAAGTGTGCCCACGTTGACGCAGAGCGCGTGGACCTGAGGAGTGAATTCCGGGAGTTCTTCTAAGGTGTGGAGCATGGCGGGTGATGCGCCCGCGGACAAGAGAGTGTTCGCCATCAGATCCATCGACACGAAGTTTGTGATGCATTGGATGAGTGGTGATTGGGATCGAACTGTGGATAGTAGGGCCCATGCTTTCTGGGACCACATGGTTGTCTCTGGTTCTTCTTCCTTGTAGTTGGACGCGCTTTCCATGCTCTCTCCCTCTTTTGCTTGCCTAGAGCTCTGTTTCTGGTGACCTAGAGCTCTGTTTCTGGTGAATACTCGTTTTAGTAGCAGAAAGAAATCAACTTTATGTATATGTATATTATAAACTGCCGCTTTGCTCAATCATAATTGTCAATTTTTCCTCTAAATAATTTTTTCCATAAATTAATTAAAGGGTGTAATTAATTTTGATTTTAAATGATTTTAAAAGAATTAAGTTGATGGAGTTTAACTGAGTTTGACTGAATTATACAAATTCCACATAAATTTTGACTGAATTCATGTATAGATTTTAACTGAGTTTCTTAGAGTTTTTTTATTGATTTTAATGGAGTTTATAGCACTCAAAAAACAAAGAATAGGGGTGATGACGATGGTGGTGATGGTGATGGTGATGTTGATGGCAGTTTGTGGGTGATGGGGGAGATGGTAGTGGTGGTGGCGCTATGGGGATGGTAGTGGTGGTTGCAGTGGGAGTGAGGTGGTGGTAGTGATGGAGCTCGTGGATGTGCCTATGGTGGCAACGATGGTGGTAGTGATGGTGATGATGATGATGCTAGCGGTGGCAGTGGTTATCGTGGGGGTGATAGTGGGGCTGATAGCGGCGGGGGGGGGGGGGGTGAGGGGGGGGGGGGGGGGGGGGCGGGGGGCAAAGGGG